TTAACAAACAGAATTCTTTAAACTTGAAATTATACAAACATTTCAAAACCTGATATATTAGTAATTGTTTGAACCCACAATGGGGTTCAAGTTCCACACTGAATCAATTCTTATCTACCAGAATATTCTAAATTATTTATAAATATTAATTTAATTATAATTATTAAACTTAATAAGAGATGGCATCTAATACCTCTCTCTAATGACAAATTATTTAGAGATTAATTTAAAATAATTGCAGAGAAGTAGCCCGATTTAATATGACATTCATTTGGCATAAATTTGAAATTATAATAGTTATTACAATTTTTAATAGAAAATTTAAACCATCCCTATTACAATGAAACAAAATTAAAAATAGAAACTTTGAATTAATTTGGTACATTGTTAAGACTTCATAAACAGCAATTACTATTTTATAAGTCATTAAAAAGTTCAAAATAATATTTCTAAAATAACTATACTATATAACTAAAATACTAAAATAACTATAAATAATATATGGCAGCTCTCCCAAAATTTATAATAAACATGATAATTACTAAATATTCCATGTTCTAAGATAAAAATAAAAATAAAATTTAAATACGTATATCTTTAATGTATTTTCAAATAGTATTTTAAAGTTAAAAATTGTAAAATAAAATTACTTACTTTAAAACAAAGATCCTCAAACATGTAAAATTTAAAAGAAACAAGAGCATAGACGAAGCAAAACAATTACAAAAACTTCCTATTGTTTGCCATAAATAAAAATAGAAATTACTAAAAACTGCATTGCTATGAACTCTGACTTAAAAAACATAGTACTTTCTGTTGGAAAATAAAAGAAAATATAGTAAGTACAATATGTCTACATTTTGTCCTGTGTTTTAATCATCATATTAATATAAATCATTTAGAGATATTATTTCTACATACAACTTTCAAACAACTTATTCTTTTGTACATAACATTTTGATATCTCTAAATTGCAAATAGTAAATTTCATATGCCAAATTCAGGCTGTCACCTGAACTGAAAATGTATAAAAAACAAAAACTTTGAACTATCCTGCAGTGTCATTTTCTGCCTGTTTTGGTAATACTGTATATTAATAACTTGTAAAATTTAATTTTTTTTTATTAGTTTCTGTTTGATCTATGTTTTTAACACTGAATATTTTATGTATTGAAACATTTTCTAAAAAAAGCATAAAATTCTCTTTTAATAGATGTTATGATTATTCTTTTAATTCTCTGGGAAAAGAATTCCTTTATAATGTGCAATTCTATTGTTCAACTTTCATATTCACTTTTAGAAACATGTTATATCTAGAAGATATAACATGACTGCTTAACTGATATTATTTAGACTGCACTTAGTCAATAATACACACTGTATAAACGTAATTTGCTTTTTATTTTCAGGCTCATAATAATTCAATTTAAATACTAATATAATTTCATAACAACAGATAGTGCAACAAATTTATTTCGTGTCATCATCAAGAAACTTGATGAACACACAATGATGAATTTGCAATTTCTACACTTAAATTTTGTTATTTTAAAAATTATAACTTCATAGTGATGCATTAATAATTTTATTTTTCAAAATTTAACACGATTATCTATGTTTGTATAGTAGTAATATAAATTCTTTACATAAATAAAAAATTATAATATATAAATTACAGGAATCCCTTCCTTAAATGCAGTTTTGCTTAATACACAAAATTAATTGTGGCAATCCCTTTATATATGCAACAGAAGTTTTAATTTACACAGCTTTGCCAGCTGTCTTTACTTAACATAGACCATATTTTGATTAATGCGAGTTTGATATACATGGTTGGATTGAGGGATTTATTAACTGCATTAATGAAGGAATACCTGTATATCAAAAATTTTCAAAAAGATATTGTAGGACTATCATAATGGAGTTTTGATATATAAACGAAATAATGTTATATGTCAGGGATGGCAAACCTTTTTGAGTCTGCGTGCCACATAGTAAGCATATTAAGCATACTTTTCTTTAAAAACGTTTATGCGTGCAGAAGTTTTAGACTTAGAGTAACTATATTTAAATTTGGCCGAATGGCCAAGCGGTCAAAGTGGTAGCTATCACTCTTGTAGACCCGAGATCAAAACCCCAGAAAATTTTCAGGTGGGTATCCATTCTTCACCACCCGGCTGTCCCATTGTGGACTTGCTAAATAAAAAAGCCCTCTTAGTACCCAAAGGACAAAAATAGTTTTAAAAAACTATATTTAAATAAATAATATGCTGTAATTAGAGTAAATGTAAAGAACCTGATTGAAAAAGATGATAAACCGAAATCATATAATTCGTTATGTACCAGATGATTTCGACGTGCCACTTTAGGCATGCATGCCATAGGTTCACCACCTCTGTTATATGTTATATTATGTATTGCTATTATATAATTGTAAAAATAAATAGTATATTTATAATAAGAATATAGTTACTTTTTAAATATAAAGCAAGCTATTTACATTATGAAAAATTAAATTTAATACTCTACAATTTTAAAGATATAATATTTAAAAGAAAACAGTTTATGTTTGAAAAATTGCATTCTCACTATTATACATCAATTATATTTCATCATGATATGATAGATAACTAAGCAATTTTATTTCTATCATTAAAATCATATTTTTTTTAAGTTGAAATAATTATGAATCTACAAACTATAAACAGCTAGGACCTATGTATATGATGCTATTGGCCTAAATGCATCAATTATTGATACAGTATATTCATAATCCACAAGGCTCAATTCAGATTAAAACACAAATCTTAAAAGTCAATTAAAAATTTTTCACGTATATATTACAAGTTCTATAGAAGTACTGCATAATTCCATAAGATTGTTGAAAACTCCTCAATTATCGTAATTCAAATAATTGCTTATTTGGACTATTTTTATCAGAAACAAGGATATTAATATTCATACAACCAATTTTCTGATCTTAACCATGTGAATAAAAATAAACAGTTCTAAAAACAATTTAAATATTAAATAAAAAACCAAGGTTAAAACCAATGGTTAAAACCGCTAGGCCCCTTCTATAAATTAAAATCAGTTTTTAGTTATTATTAATTAAAATAAATTATTTACTGTTATTTAAAAAAATTTTTTTATTAAAAATTTTCTAACAAAAATCTCATAAAACTATATAATAAAATTATGTTAATTAATTTAATGAAGTTTAGAAAACTATGTAATCTGTGAGGAATACAGCTGTATAGGTATATTTTTTCATACCAACCTGTTTTTGTTTTCTCTGTTAGTGTTTTTGTGTCCTCTCATCTTCAGATTTTGTCAACAATTCATTAAGTAGTTTAGAATCAAAGAAACTAATTAGGTAGTTGATAATGTCATTTGCTAACAGATAGAGAAACAGTGTTTCTCTAGAAACAATATAAACCAGAAATGGTAGCATAAAACAAAACAACCAGCTTTTGGTTAGCTACATGAAAACATACCTTAGCTAAAATAATTTAAAATTAAGGCTTACTACTACAATAAAATGGACAAAATAAAATATTCTTTACAAATATTTCCATATTAAATTTTACATATGCTTTATTACCAACTTAAAACTTTCTTCTAGTTGTGGGCCCTAAACATTGCTATGCCCCTGCATTGCAGGGTTGGCAGGGGGCAATTGTTACAGCCTTGGTAAAAACAAAATGTTTTCAAATGTATGTTCATATCTCTTGATAGAACTTCAAAATGCTTATCAAAAGAATAATTATTTTTTTCCACATTTGTAATTAATTTATTTAAAATATATATTTAAATAAATGTAACTGTTTCAAATAAAAGAATAAAAGATACATTTCAAAACAGTTGTTTTATTAATGCACTATACATATATATATATATATTTTTAAATGTGAAGTATAGTAGTCTCTCGGTTTTGAAACAAAGTTTGAAGTGCAACCTACATTTGAACTAATTCTGTCAAAGTACAAATTTTAAAATTTGTTTTGCACATCATAAAGAAATAAAATTCCAATATCTGTTGTTGTACCAGTACATATTTTAATAATTTCTCCACATTTTTTTAGTTAGCAATACTTAATAATTAAATATATAAAATACATAACTTTATTTAATGATTTAAAATGTCGAATAGCGACCACTGAAACAAAATGTTTATATCTACAAACAAAATAAATTATACTTGTCATCCAACATCAAATATAATACCGTATATCTTAATCTATCCTAAATTTAATTGCAATAAAATAATTAAAGAGCAGCCTACATTTCAAAAAGGAAATTGTATAGATTTATTAATCAGGAAATTAAATTCTTTCATAAATTCTAAATTTTAGCTAATTTTATGTCAAAGAAAATATGTTTGTACGACAGCATATGACTAAAACGTCAAATTTTAATAAGAAGAAGATTTGGAAATAAAATTAAGATTAACTCATTTAAATGAAAAAAGTTTATCAAAAGAGAAGAAGAATCTTTTCTATTAGCAATATAAATTTTCTTTGAATAAATACATAAATAAATATGTGCATATGACAAATTAAAAGTTATTTTATTTTTTTTTAAAGAAATTAACTTATTAAACATTTTAGAAGCATGTAACTTCTGGAGAAATTTCCAAAGGTTTTATCTGTAATATTTACATGCTGGAACCAACGATTATAACAACCTGCCAAAGAATATAATATAATGGACTAAGTGCATATGACAATTTATTAACAATGGTATTATAGAATGTAATGAGATACTTTATGTCTAAAATACTAAGAAGGAATTCGGTCAAACGATTAAATTACCATCTTAAAGATGTATTATAAATAAAAAACGAACAATCTGCGAAGTTCAAAATTCCCTATTGGCAGTAGGATACTAAATCTATGCTCTACTTACATTTTACGCCAGATTTACTCCGCGTGTAAGTCGAGAGTGATCTCATTTATTACAAATAAGAAAAGAAAAAAGTAAATAAAAAGTATACCTACCCTTCTGTCTTCTTTCAGTTGAAATTCCTCTTTCTGTACGCCATCTTGGATTTTCGTTACTTTTTATTTCAACAGCGACATCTGGCGAAGTTAAACCTTTAGTACATATTTTATCCCCGACCAATAATGTTTCGCGGTAATTATTCACGCGCTCTATGAACAGTTTCAATTAATTCTCAAGTCTCAATCTTTAAAAAAAGAAAAAAAAGTTTATTTTTAAACTTCTAATTTTTTTCCAGCTATCTTCAATTTAGGATAATCACTATGAATTGCATTGTTTGTGTAACGCTACTATAATTATTAAAAAAAAAAAGAGAGAGAGAGAGAGAGAAATTCCAATTGTATACGACAGATTTAAACATCAACTAAACACTATAGCTTAGACACCGTGCTACGAGAATATAGTTTTTGGCCTAAAATTTTTAAATTTATTATGATCTAATAGAGGAAGAACTTTTTATATGTAATAGTTCACAACTAGAACTGTAATTTGGGTCTATAAATTCCCAGGAATTTTTCGGGAGTAGTCTGTCCGAATATGTCGGGCCCCGTCCCTCACCACCCGGCCGCCCCATTATGGGCCTGGCCGAACCCATAATGGGCTTACTAAAAGAAGTCTTCTTAGTGCCCATTGGGCCGAAAGAGTTATATATATATAAACTAGAACTGTAAATCCGGTCTAGATTGGAAGTTTCAATTTTTCATCTTATTATTATAACACTCTATTTTAATTAAATTAAAATATAGTTTTATAGTGACAAAAAGCCTTTTTCTCTAATAATATACCGCGATTGCAATGTTTACCCAATAATAAAATATAAATAATACTTAGGTCGTGCATATGAGTATCTTCGTTGTCTTGAAGTTCATTGTATTGAATGTTTTTCTAAATATCTATAGTAACAATAAGTAAAATATTATTCTGTCGAGAAAGAAATAAAGTACAGTATATAAATGCTCATTTACTTATAAAATATTTATAAAATACTTTATGAGATTCCTTACGTGATAAATTGGAGTATTATAAAATTTTAAGCTAACTCAAAATTAATGAAATTTAAAAAAATTAATCAAGAAACATAATAGTTGAAAAACATATTCGTTAAATCAGTAATTTTTAATGTTTTTTGTTGAAGTAATCGCCCTAACTAGCTTACTTTAGTGTGTTTGTGTCACACCTACTAACCAATAATTTATTTAAATTTTAAATAATTAAGTATCAGGGAACCTTGCGACACACCTACAAGCTAGTTGCGACACCCTGGGGTGTCGTAAAAGCTAGGTTGAAACTACCGTGTTACATCATTTAACTTTTATATACATATCGCGAAATTATATAAGTATTAAACAGTTTATTTGTAACGTAATAATTTAAAATCTGATAAATAAATTCTAATTTTTTATAATTATAAATTATTATAAAAAATCTTTATTCAAGAATTAGTTTTTCTGTTAATATAAATATGTCTTGTTAATTATTTAAAACTAATTATATTTTTCAAAATCGCAAAATACAGTAACAAGTAAGTTACTAGAAATATCTAATTTTATTAACACAGTTTTTTAACTTTTTCATTGCGTGAATAAAGAGTACCATTTCCTAAGCTCCTCGTGAGTTCTGCCAGACCCAAAATACGTACAGCTAAATGTTATTTGTGCCCATTTATAAAAAAAATTTTGAGCTGACTTGGCACTTGAGTCTCCGAAAACGCCACACTAATACTTTAATTAATGCTTCCGTTATTCGACCACCTTTCCTAGTATATATAACTGCTTCTCATAAAAATATTAAATCAAATTTCGGTGAAAATCAAATAGTTCAAAATGGATATTCGTTTTAATTACATCTACATCAATTTATCACGATTTTTAAAAAAAATTTTTTACTCTTTGCGCCCTGTGGACACTAAGAAGTCCTTTTAATCATATCCATTATGGATTCCACCAGACCAAGAATGAGGCTGCCGGGTGGTAAGGAATGGAGTCCGACATTCCCGAGACAGATCAGCCACCGAAAAATTTCTGGGAAGCGTCGGATTCGATTCCGGTCCCTCAAATAGGTAGCCTAGGCTGACTCATTCACCGCCTAGGCTATTAGCCGTCTATATAATTAATTATTTCTTCACAGTTCAGATAAAGATGATCTATCCCGTAAATGATCAATGAAATTGTAAAAAGAAAAAAGAAAAATCTCGGTGAAATCCTTTATAATATATTTATGTCACGAGGACGTTGAAAATAAACACGATTTTTTATAACTTTTATGTAGTTTTGTATGGAAATTTATTCTAATCGTTAAAACAATTTCTAAAAATTCTACGTATAAAAATTTCGTAGAATGTATTAGTATTATTAAAATAAAATCAAAATAATTAAATAAAAAAATGCATTACATAATCTTCTATGATTACAGCATATTATATTTATAGCAACAATAGGAAATCACATAAATATAAAACTGTCTTAAAGTTTAGATTTTGTAGGAAGGGAAAATATAGTAAAAAGTGAGATTGGCTTTCGTCAAATA